AGTGGGCACTGCAAGTGTCTGAGCCCAGGGACAGGAGCTGGGGCAGCTAGGACACTGGTGTGGTGAAAGGTGGTGGCCAAGCGCAAAGTGACCTTGATGAGGCTGGAAAGGTAGGCAAATCCCTAATCATATAAGGCACAGCCGGTCATGGGAAAGAAAGTGGACTTCCACAGAGAGCTACTAAAGTTGGTACATTATAATACATGATTCTGATGATGTTTTACCATAAAAGGTACTCTTAAATCATCACACACAAAACAAAGTACACAGAGAATATGATGTCTCCAAAATCAGTGATAAAAATTAGCACTGTGTTAGAGCTCATGGATATAGGTATTGAGAAGTCTTGCTAACTAGAGGCAAACAACCTTAGCCTAAATATGAGATGAAATACAAGGAATACAATGGGGCTAAAGGGGTGGGAGTACGTGTGACTGACAAGGGAACACTATTATCAGCAATTAACTCACAGTTACCAAATATAAAGCACATAGTAAAGCTAATGGAAAGTGCCCTAAATAAGCACATATAATGATGGAAAGGCCATTGGGAAATTGATCAATGGCAGTTGTCTAAATCCATGAACAGGTTAACTGAAACAGCAGATGGAAAGTTACCATGTCAGTGTCCTACAACTGCTTCTGAATCAGAAATCAGAGAGCCGCTGAGCAGCATTCTTCCAGGTTTAAGTGTTTTCTTTTTCTTCTCCCTTGCCCCAGCTGAACATAAGTATTAATAATTTGGAAACCCAAAACTGGAAAAGGCTCTTCTGAATTATCACTCTACCTCTAGGACTCATAACATGGCCTCATGACTTGAGTCCCCAGTCCCCACGATCTTTAACACAAATGTATCATTGAGACATAAACATAATCCACTCACACCTTTTCCCTGGGAACTCCTTGTTCTAGGGGTCACTTGGCCATGACAAAACGGGCAACCTGGGACTGTGGACTTGAACAAGGCCAACTGGCTAACCTCAAGATCAAACCTATGACACCAACCAAGAGAACTTGGCAGCCACAAAGGCTGCCCTAAAACAAGCCGAGGTCAACAACATGGGTGCCATGTCACAGAGCCCAGCACATTGCTTGCACTGATGGTATGCTATCCCATGAAGGAAGGAGAATGGGGAAGGAGGATCAAAACACATCACGCAGCCAGAGTTTACCAAGTGCCAGGCACTTTCACATCCAGTGCTTCAAAAAATCCAGCAATCGCACAAAGTAAAATGCTTGCGATTTTTCACATGAGATAAGTAAGGCTAGGAGAGATTTTTGTTAGTGGCCCAAGGCTACAGTTAGCTAAGTGAGACCGGCATCTCACCCACCACCTAGAATCTAGCAAGAAAGAGGACAGTGCCCTGAGCGGACCCCGATCTTTCTGTCCCACCTTTCATCTCAGTCTTACCTCCTCCCTCTTTATCTTTCCCAAGGCAGGAAACCTGGATTCCACACCTGGCTTCATCCCAGACTCCCAGTCATCCAGCTCCCTCAGAAATGTTACCTGCTCCCAACCCTTGATTGGGACACTTCACTGATTAAAGGGTCACCTGCGGGGTGGGAGGCGGGGAGGTGACTGGAGCTGTGTCCAGTATCCCCTGGAAAAAATTCATCAGTAGTGGTCAGGAGAAGGAAAGAGCCATCACACCAGGGCTATTCAAAAATCTTTATAGATGCCAATTCAAAAGGGACTCAGCCAAGAGCCACTTCTGTCACAGAGAAGGGCTTGAGGAAAGAAATTCCCTTCCACCCAAACAAGAAAATTGAGACCAGAATCCAAGTGGAAAATGGTGTTGCTGCCCTAACCGGTTTGGCTCAGTGTACAGAGCATCAGCCTGCAGACTCAAGGGTCCCAGGTTCAATTCCGGTCAAGGGCATGTACCTTGGTTGCGGGCACATCCCCAGTAGGCGGTGTGCAGGAGGCAGCTAATCGATGTTTCTCTCTCATCGATGTTTCTAACTCTCTATCCCTCTCCCTTCCTCTCTGTAAAAAAAATCAATAAAATATTTTTTTTAAAAGAAAATGGTGTTGCTCACCATCTGGGAAGGACTGAGCTGGGACCAAATTCCCCATCACATCTCCCTCCTGGCCTATGAAGTAGTCAGGCAACAGGCTACAAAAGATGCAGACATAATAACAATCCGAACAGATGTACGGCCTACTTACAATCTCAGATGCATCTACGGCACTCGGGGCTTTGGCTGCAGAAAGCTCCATTCTGTGGGGTATGAAATGGTGATCTGGGGCTGACTGTGTCTGAACTCTGGGCAGGAGTACGGTCTGTGCTCGCTGAGAACTCCAAGTCCCTCTGATTCACTTGGCAGCTGAATTATTCTAAGCATCCTGTCCCGTACCCAGACCGCCTTGCCCCTCCCACTACACATTCTCACTGGGTGGGTTTTTTTTTTTTATTCTCTGCACTTATTTCTGTCACAACTCAAGTGAAACTCATTTTTCAAAAGTAATCCACTCTCTCACACTTGAGAGTGTGAAACCTTTATGACCTAGGAGGAGAAAGAGGAAGAAGAGCCACCTAATTAGGAAGTTGTAACTAACATCAGAAAGAAGAGAGTTGGAGAACGCAAGTCTGCAGTAACAGCAAAATGGAGATTATTCGAGACAGCTGAAACACTCCACCCAGCCTCCAGGAGGGGACATGCACGGGAAACAAAGGGCATATGGTGTTTGCTTTCTTCAACATCCGTTCTCACCATTAAGAGCTGCACCAGCAAATGCTCATTACTGACATGAGGACAAACCTCACTCCAAAACAGACTTGAAAATAGAGCTCACAATCAAATAAATTACTTTGCAAAGCACAGGCATACCTTGATTTTTTTACTACATATAAAGAAAAATTTAATAAAGTCCAAATAACTGGCAGAATGTCTATTTGGCTTCATGAAACATGAATTATACTTGAAAGGAAAGTCGATTTCTGTTAATTTCAAGTGTATATAGTACCTCAAATACTGATATATTCAGGATAGGATTTTTTTCCCCAAGGAGTGATTCCAAGGGGTAACCTAATAACTAGATAAGAATGATTTTATATTATTAACTACTAGTCACATAGTCAATTATTTCTTTCTTTAAAAATATGTTTTATTGATTTCAGAGAGAAGGAGAAGGAAAGAGAGACAGAGACATCAGTGATAAGAATCATCTATCGACTGCTTCCTGCACACCTCCCACTGGGGATCGAGCCCACAGCCCAGGCATATGCCTGAACCAGGGGAATCGAACCCCGACCTCCTGGTTCATAGGTCAGCACTCAACCACTGAACCACACCAGCCGGGCTATTTAAACATTTCTATCTTAAAGCAAACAAGTTTTTCTACTGTGACTTACATTATTCATTGTCCCCATATGTTAATGTTAACATCATACGCACAAATGTCCACACTAATAAAACTTCCAAAGATCAACTTCAGTGTACTCTCTGACCAAATTACAACAAATTCCTGAATTGGGGAGCTCTGAACTGATAACGCTTTTCACAGTGACATAAAGCCATGGTCAGCTTCAAAAACGCTCATGTACTATTTTATTACAAGCCTACCCAGCAGAACCCACTATTGGCCACAGTGCCCACCCATCCATCATAAGGTCCACTCTCACCTCCAGAGAGGCAGCCTAATTAGTTCTAAGCCAATCATTGATTCAGGGTGGGCAACAGGAACTAAACTTACCCAATCAGGCAGACTGCAGGAAAGGACTTCTCCCACGTACCAGCTGTGAACAAGGAATCAATGGATGCCAATAGATGCCATCCTATAACCGCCTGACAACCAGAGAGGCACCAGCCCTTGGATGAAGCTACTGCCAGAAGGACACCGTGGAGGAGAAATGGCCAGAACACAGGTCTCTGAGTCACTATGAGCAGCTGATCACACTGCCCTCAGGGTCCACCCTATCTGTAGCCTCCCAATTATGTATAACAAACATCCCTGTTTAAACCAGTCCCAGCCAGGTTTCTGTTCCAGGCAATCTAAAGCATTGCTGACAGGAATGAGCTGAGGAGTAGCTGCAGGGCCATGAGCAAGAGTTTGTAATTTGGCAAAGATACTCTTTAAAGTAAATCATACACTCAGAAAATAGTCCCCTTAATGTTAAAGAAAAAGGAGAAATTACAAAGATGAGTGGTTACCAAGGGCTGGGCATGGAAATGGGAAGTGACTACAAATGAGCATAAGGTTTCTTTGGGGGTGATGGACATTTCCGAAAATTAGATTGTGGTGATGGTTACACACTCTGTAAATAAACTGAAAACGATTGAATTCAAATGGGTGAATTTTATGGTATGTAAATTAGATTTTAATAAAGCTGATTTTTTAAAAAGCTACAAGGGAGCAGATGATCATTCAGGAAAAGTTACTGATTTAAGGCACTTGTCCTCCATCCCCATCTGATAGCATCATGCCTATGCCTCAAATCCTTCCTTTGATGCTTCCAGATTACCTCGAGAGTCCAAGTTCATTACAGAGGCACACAAGATCCCTGGTAACCCCCAGCCTCACTTTCCCCACTTCTCATTTAACTCACTGGCAAAGCTTACTTCCAGATACCCATCAAACCATTTCCACTCGAGGCCTCTGCTCACACTACACCCCTGTTCTGGGTCACTGGCTCCATCCTCTTTACCTGATCTACTCTTTCCTATCCTGTGGCAGGTTCTTAGGTTCCCGCTATGGGCCTACTTAGCATACTGCGCATGCACCATGATGGGTTGGAATTCTGTCTCTCCTACGAAGCTCTACCCCAGGGCCTGAAGCTACATTCCAGACCTGATAGGACTGGTCTCATCTTTCCCTTTTTCTGGAAGGACACCAGCTTCTTCTTAGGTCACTTCTGTCATTGAGGTTGGGGGTGGGAGAGTCAGAGGCAGGTTCTAAATCTCCTGGCTCTCACCCACACCCACTTTCCTAGAGCAACTTCAGGCTCAGCAAGGGCTAGAGGTGCCCACAACGTGTAAACAGAACCCTCATCCCGGATCTTCTGCTTCTCTACTCAGCTCTCCCTGATGCAGAAGGTAATGGCGACAATGCACAACGTCTCTCTCACTGTATAAGCTTCAGAAAAGAGAGGGAACATCCAATCCTTTTTTCTTCTGATTACGGGGTTTCCCCTTATTTTTTTTTTTTAACCCTTAGACAAGGTTAGGAGCTGGGGTACGAAAAGTCACAAATGCAACAAGAATGGGAAACACTTGGCTTTGAAAAAGACTAGACATTAAAAACAGGACACAATAGATTAAGGAAAGCTGAGAAAACTCATCTCCATCTGGTGTCTTATCTTCCTGCATGACCTCAGGGGAAAAGATTTATAGTCCGATTTAAGGAATGTTTAAAAAGCTAGTTACTAAGGAGTGTTGGTTATTTAAAAAAAAAAAAAAAAAGGAAGAAAGAAAGAAAAAGTCATACTGGGAAAAAAGTGCCATAGAATCTGTGCTTCATTACAGCAGCGGCATCAGCAAGCCCTATCTTCCTAGCTTGCCCCGGCTCTCCCAACACCACCAAAAACGAAACCCCAACACCAGGAGCATGGGAAAGAGCTAAAATAACACTTTAAATGTGCACAATTGTAATTTCAACTCCTACCTCATAATCATGACTACTATTTTCCACATTTGGGCCCCAGCTTCCCTGGACAAACTCTGGGAGCCTTCACAGACATTATCTAATGCTAAGCAGGTCAGCAACCTAACCATTAAGTCCTCTTTTTTCTCCATGCTCTCTGATTTAAGCCGGTCTGGGTACAATCACAAAGAACTGGTCAGTGCCCTGCCAAGAGGGGTGGCTAAGATTTCTCATGTAATTTGGGTCAAACAGGAAGCTCTTAGGGTGTCAGAAAGTTTGCCTTTAAACATCTCAATCTTATCCCTACAGTGAAGTTTTCAAAGTTGTCATTTCCCCCCTCCCACCTTTTGTGGGTTCCAGTTCCATCCCTGGTCAGGGCAAGTGCAGGAGGCAGTTGATGGATATTTCTTTCTCTCTTTTCTCTCTCTTCTCTCTCCCCCCCCTCTCTTTCTCCCTCTCTCTCACTCTCTCTCTCTCCCCCCCATTCCCCTCCCCCTCCCCCTCTCCTTTCCACTATATCTGAAAAGCAATGGAAAAAAATATCCTCTGGTGAGGATTAACCAAAAAAAATTTTTTTTACCTGCCTGGCCATGGCCCCAGTAACTCTAATTCCATCCTTAATTCAGTCCTTTGGGGGATCTTCCTCCTTCAAACTCCCCGAGGTGATTCAGGCAATCAACACAGCCCTAAGATGGAGAGCTGGGTCTTGCTACTAAAAGCAGCATCATTTGGAAGCTTCTTAGAACTGCAGAATCTGGGCCTCCCCACATCCACCCGCCCCCAGCCCAGACCCCTTAATAGGAATCTTCATTTTAACATAATCCCCCAGGAGCATGTGGCACATTAAGCTCTGTTAACATCTGGCTTCAGAATCTCCAAGGTTGTGTTTTTTTTGTTTCCCCTTCACAAGTGGGAGAAGGAATAGTGGGAGGTCACCATCAGAATCCACATTCCAAACTTTTTCAGGATCTTTCTGATAAACCACAGGGCCAAATCCTGCTCCCGCCTCCTCCCTCCCCACCTTCCCAGAAACAATGAGTAGTCAGATTAAATGTAAAGGGAGTCAAAGACTAGACAGCCTGCGTTTTCAATTAAAGCAATATATTTTTCCATTTGTGCTGGCAGCATGGACACTTGCATTACTGCACATGTTTCAAGCTATTCCTACATCATCAAAGCAGCAGAACCTGCAACATCTTTTAGTATTAAAGAGCTTTACGTGCAACGCAAGCATGCTAGGATTAATAATTCTTGGAATTTATGAGAATTACTAATTGCATCCATTCTGAAAAATCAATATACTTCAAGAACTTTTAAAAAATTCATATGCTTATTTCCCTTCTTCAAATAACATCAGAAGGCATTCACAGGAAGTCTTGGTTCCAACTGAAAGCGGCTGCATATTAAAAGAAAGTCAGTAGTAGCCTAACACCCAGCTCAGCCAAGATTCCCAGCAGGTTCTCAGAACCTGACAGATTGGGGTATTCCCTCATGCTAATTACAGTTTGTTTCACTGGCTGTTGTTTTAACGTAGCCAAGGCCACCCAGATAACCCTGCAGCACAGTATGGACTGTGCTACTTTAGAAACTAAACCACCCCTGGGCCCAAAACCAGCTCTCCTACTGACTAACTGCTCCCCCAGGCGAGTTATTTAACGCCTCTGGTCCACGGGAAGTGCTGTATAAAAGTTTGCTGTTTTTCTCACCAACCATGTAGTACCAGGAATGGTACAGATAATAGAACAATGCACGCACTA